CTTGAATTGTTCTCTGCCCGGCCTCAGTTTCTGCATATTGCATAAGGGTTAGCCTCAGGCAAATAATTTTCTGGATTCAGCCTACCCTGCTATGGCAGATCTGCCTTCAGAAAAGGCTAAAACGATGCAGATGACATTAAAAATCCCTCATCCAGGGTAGCCTCGTGTCCAGTTGGATGCATGCAGTAAGAGAACCCGTACGTGCAAGGACTGTTCGTGGCAGGGAGCAAAGGATTCCCAATTTTGCCGTAGGGTTAGAAATTCGTTTTCAATATTGGGGTCCGGCTGGGGCTCGGGGAAATACATTTCTGTTTCAAGATCAAGAGGGGTATTGGGAGGAGCGGTGGGCGATAGCATCCCCCTCGCACTCCCTGGTGCTGCACCCAGTCTCTGGCTCCATGCCACCCGCTGCTCCTGGCACCTCAGGGACCGAAAATAATATGGTTTAGCCCTACCGTGTCCCCACATCCCCCTGGCTGGCTGGGCATTACACTTAGCACTGATTTTCTTGGGTATTCAGGGTGGTCCATGCCCTCCTTTGCCACCTCGGGCTGTTGTCCCTGGGGCGATCGCCGCCGGCACTGGCAGCCCCTTGCAAATTTGACAGCTGCATATGGGAATAGAAATATTTCCATCACCTCCTCCAGCGCTGGTGTTTGCTGGGTGCCGGGCGCCTTGCAGGACTTGTTGCTGCCCCGATGCTCTCCTTGGGGCCGTGGGGTAATGGCAGACTGGTCCAAGCAGATGCATCTCCCTCGTGCCCTAAGGCAGGGGTTGATCCGTAGGTCTTATAGGCCAAGTCGGTATAGCTTGGCCGTCTCCCTTCTTTGGGGGTGGGAGATGCCTCCGTGTGAAGGGAGGTCTGTAAACACAAAGTGATACGATATTATTGCTTTTTACATCCTCACCCCCAGCCAAAAGCAGGACGGTGTGGTGCCTGCTAGTCTGATCCTGCCCCATCTCCCTCCCCGAAGCTGTGCGGAGCTGGTGGTTCTCCATCCCCCAGGTCTCCCCGAGCAGATCCAGGCTATTACCAAGGATATGGTATGGATCGGAGCCGCACGGTAAAGCAGCATCACGTATCCAGGGATATGATTATTTCCCAGTGGTTGAAATCTAGGTCTCTTGCTTGGGAGGAGGGAG